GCGTCCTCCCCCCCCCCCCCCCCCACCCCACCAAAAAAATAAAATCTCTAACATTGGATTTTTCTGCCCCTTCAACTAAATAATATTGGTTTGTCAATATGGCAATGTACAAAAAACTTCAATAATTTCCGATAGATGCACAATATTCTCTCTTAATCTAAAATTGTCAAGGAAGAGGGATAGAAGAACTCAGTTAGGAGAATAGGGGATAATGTTGATGATGATTTACAATACACTAGTATTCCATAATATAAGAGTGATTGAAAGAATTGCTAAAATAGTGTATTTATATTGATGTTTTTTTTCTGTGTTTATGCAATTTAACCTGCTGACTGCTGTACATCTGGATAGTGCATTTTGCCAACGACATATGACATTTGGCAAAAGTCATAATATAATGCATTGACCATGAATTCAGGAGCTACAAGTGAAGCATACATCTATTAAACATAGTATAAAAATGTTATAATGTGATATTCTTACTGTTTGTTTCCAGATTATAACATACAATGAATTAGTATTCCCATGACACAAGTAATTCTACACTCTGTAACTACTAGTATAATTCAGTAATACTTCATTTCAAAGATATATTTAAAAATATTAAGGTTCTTACTATATTCCATGCAAAGTTTCAAGGATGTGTAATTAGTAACTGATATAAATACTACTTAAACCATGAACAGATTATAGTCTCGGGCTGTAGAAACTGTTATTTAAGAGTATAATAGCAAGATCCATATTAGGCTAGCAAGTCAGGATGAAATTTGGCAAGACAAAGAAGACATACAGTGATATGATCAATGCCACATCCTATCTTTTTCTCAAACTCAGGGTGATAAGGTAGCAACCTTTCCAGAATTGTCTTCTCATGCTCTGGGATTAATCTGTCACCACTTTCATACCTGCAAACATATTTTCTTCAGGAGTTATAGCCAGTAACAGGAAGATTCTAGTAGATGTAGTTCTCATTCTTCATAGCTATAGTTATAAAAGAGAACTTGAAGATAGAATGTGGGGTGATGTCAAGAAAGAAACAAAAGCACATGGTAACATGTGAGGTGATGTCAAGAAAGATATAGAAGGACGAATAGAATTTATATAAATGAAGCAATCTCATACCAAAAAGCAACTTAGAATTTTCCCCCCTAATATTGCTAAACAAGATGCAATTGCACAAATTTGTTGTTAGGATCCATTTAGTCGCACATTGATCAAATGTGGATTTAAGCCTTAGCTTGTAGAGATTTGGTGTCTTCTTGTAACAGTGTGGGTGGCGTCACCATTATTGCTGTGTTTGCTTGGGATTAGTCAAGTACAAGATGAAAGGGTCACATAGGCATTGCAGCGTTGGTCTGGGACTAGTTTAGTGCAAAGCCATGACATTGGAATTGCAGTGTTTGAGACTAGTTTACAGACAGCTTGCGCGGGTGTCAGGGTTGTAGAAGCGTGGCAATATGTTAGGGCCCATTTTTAACACGCTGATTAAATCAGGAGTCAATTGTGGATTTATACAAATTTGAGCTTCCTTCCTGAAAGATTTTTCTTTCAGGATTGAGTTAAAGTCTAACCACTACAGCAAAACTCTGTGGTAGTGTGGTGAATGTTGAGGGTTATATTTTTATATTCTAACATTTGTCCCTACAGGTGCAGAAACATGGACTGTCCTAGTGGTGTCAATTTCTAGAAAACCCGCTTTGACTTCATGGCCGGTAGGATTTGAACCAAGGTTGCTCTGAAACCATCTTAAAAGTCAGCTAACTATTACAAAAAAACTCTGAAGCTATGGTGGTGAGGGCTGAGGGTTATTGTTTTGTGTTCTAGCAAGTTCTCCAAAGTCCCTAATACTTACTTGTCTAATCGAAGCATTCGATCAAACACCTAACCTGCAACAAAAAAAAAAAAAAAAAAAAAAAATAAAAAAAATAAAAAAAAACCAATCAACCCAACTCCAGCAATCCTTACTTCCAGAATGAAGGATCATCCTGACAAACCCAACAAGGGAACTGTATCTTCAAGAATCTGATCCTCCAATCCACCCACTCCTCGCGGCCGCCGTTCGCCTCGCTTCGCTTTCTTCCCCTTCGCCTTCCCCTCTTCCTCTCCTCTCAGTGAGCCCTCATCTCGTTCTTCGATCGGTAATGGAGTTGATACTAATGGCTTTCTCAAAAGAGAAGGGTCCTGCTGGCTGCTGGCTCGAACTGCGACCAGGCGAAGCGAGAATGAGGGGAGTGAAGAGGGGAAGAGGGGTGAACGAGGATTACTGCGGAGGAAGTGGGGAGGAGAGACCCAATTGAGGGCCATTTATTTGATGGGTCTTCTTAATTTTTGTTCAATTTATTGTTTTTTTCCAATTATTTCAAACCATGGAGCGTTTTCGCTGGGAGGGGGGGGGGGGGGGGGGGGGGGAGCGAGGATTAACGGTTGCTGCTCACTCGCACGAAGCGGATAGCCAACACTCGGATTTCATTTTATTATTATTATTATTATGGGTTAATTACCTATTATCCCCTTACATCATTTCCAATTGCCAAATTGTCCCTCAAATCGCATTATTTGCTTGTTAGTCCCTTAAATCTTTAGTTTTCTTGCAATATCGTCCTTCTCTTAGAAAAACCGTTAACTTCTCTTAACTCTAGTTGAGTTAGTGCTTAACCTAATAACTCAAGTTACCTTATTGCCCCTTGGGGTATTATACATTGCCCTTGCAAGTTTTGGGTTTAGAGTGAAGCTAGCCATGGGAACGACCTTGATTTTGGGTTTGGGGGAAGCATGGGACCATTGGTGAAGAAAGAAGGTGGATTTGAGTTGGTATAGGTGGGGTATAATGGGTATTTTACATAATTCCGTCACATTTAACGGTCATTAATAACATCACCTAACACGAGAGACGGATTGGCAAGAAAACTGAAGATTTAAGGGACTAATCAACAAATAACATCACCTAACACGAGAGACGGATTGGCAAGAAAACTGAAGATAACTAACCCTATTATTATTGACAAATCTCTTTAGAAAGAGAAATAAAGGTTCTAAGGGGCTAAAATACTCTGCAATTGCGATTTGGGCTGTCCGGCCCGTTGTTGATACACTTGGTCCTTGGATGATCTTTTAGATATTTTGGCCTTTTGGTCCACCAAATAAAAATCTAATCACTTGCAGCATTAGTCAATTGATTGCCGTCCGAAACTTGTTTCAGCGCCAGATTTCGATTAGAGTAAACTTCACATAACCCCTTGACTGTTGGGTGTTTTGTCCCCGGAAAAATAAAATAAAAACCTCTAAAGTTAAAGGTTTGTAAATTAGAGAAAAAAAATCCATGTAACTTATTTCCATTAAAATAAGACAATTAGTTTCCATGGAGACATCGTAAAACCTCCCAACCATCTAGTCCCTCGCTGTGAGTTACCCTTATAAGAAAAATGCCTTAGAAACCCAAAAACATAGGACCCTACATGGGACAGGTGAGGTGTCGGTTCCTTGTCCCATGATGCATTGTTCATGAACAGTGCATCATGGGACAAGGAACCGACACCTCATCTGTCCCATGTTTTTGAGTCCCTATAGCACCACCCAGAACCAGTGATCCAAAAGTTATTGTGCTTTTCGACGTTGCATGTTTTACTTTGCATGTTTTCTTGATTGATTTGTAGCCTGTAAGAAAATAAATCAAGAAACGCTGAACATGTGGATGAATCATTTTCGAAAAGATTGAAAAATCTTTTTCGTAAACTCCAGTCACTTTGTATCGTAAAAGTGAAGATGAGATTTTAAAATTAAAAATCATTTAAAGAAAATAAAAAAAGAAAAGTAGGATGAAGAGATAGTATGCTGCTGTGGCCAAATTGTCCACCTTGTTCAAATTAATAGAGGCTTCTCTTTGGCTTTACGTGCAAGTCATGCTACTACCGGGCATTCAAGTTGAACTTTACATATAAACAAAACTAGAGATGGAGATAAAGTTGCTAAAACTATTGCAGCTAAAGCTGCTCTTTAGTCGAAAGATTTGTGATCAGTTATAAGCATCAACGCACATTGACAGTGTCTAAGCTTGGAACATCCTTAAGTGAGATCCAGCCTTGCACTTCACAGATAAGATTTCTACACAATCAGACTCTTCTATACGTACTTCGATCAAATGAATGCAGAAATAAACCGGCATATAGCACAAACAGAGCACGAGATGTACTGAACGGATCCTTTCCAGGTTGCAACTCTTGATGGCTCTGACAAATAAAACAGATAGCATGATTTAGCAGATATTTCATCAACAATTTGTCGAACATTAATGTCCCTGAGTTATAAGGAAAGATTGTTGACACTGGATGGCCTTTTCTCATTTTTCAAAACTAGGAAGCTGTTTCATTGGAAAAGGATCTTCCCGGCTTAAACCGCTGCTATCTGAAAAGGCTGAGAATAACATAGCACAAAATTTAGTGTTCATAAATTGGCAAGCCAAACCACCCCCATAAGAGACATGATACTAGTCTTTGTACATCACACGGGGTAGGAATAATTTCACATAGGAATACAACAAATGATAATAGAGGATATCAAACTGAGCTACAAGCATCTCTCCACGCAAATTATATGCTTTACCAACCAAACAGCCAAATTGAAATCACCAATTTATCATTAAATACTGCCCAGAAATCTCCCCATTATGGTCAGCCAGAGACCTGGCATCTCTCTTGGGGTCTCAGAAGTTCTAGCAATTACCATTGGACAAATATCACAACAATTTGGTCGCAGATCCTGATTCCTTTGTGGAAAGATGCTGCCAGTATCATTTATATGAAACAACAAACTGAGAAAAGAACAAACATGCTTAAAACTTACCATAGCCTGATAACTTAGGTTTTCCTCTGATGGATTTAACAAGGGTAACCTTGAGTGCATCCCATGCTCTTCCAAGAGAGCATCTTTCTCCGATCCCTCCCCCTGACAGATCTCGCAAGCAAGGATCCACTAACAGGCTTGCATAATCCAACATCAATAACCGAGCTGCTTGTTCTTTTATCACTTTGTGTACCAAAATGAAAATCAAAAAGCATAGCTAAGCAATGCACTTGGTGAGCTAAGATGTAGTTCTCACATTCCCATGGGAGAACCTTGAGGATATGAAGATTTACCTGTTGAAAGCATATGCAAGCATGGAAATTATAGATCCCTAGCTTATACCATTTGTTAAAGACTTCCAATAGGAACTCACCTCTGATTCCATAGCACGAAGCTCATTGAACCATTCAGCAGAGCCAAGAGATCCATCAGTGGTCATGCTTAAACTAAACAGGGGTGGCCTGAGGGGATACTCCATGCTGATCTTGATCTACGAAATTTGAACCAATGACGTCAGATATTGAATACAAGACAAAAAGAGGCAATACAGAAAGTATAGCTATACCTTTGCTTCCAATTTTATAATACGCTCATATCTGTCTTTTCTACTAAGTACCATATGGAACTCTCTTGTAGCATGGTCTTCCCATGGGTCTTCAAAACCGATGCTTGCATCTTCCATTTCTATATCCAAGGATGTTTGATCCTCTTTGTCACTCTCGCTATCCACCATAAGTTCTGGATCATCATCATTCTTGCCTAAACTTGATTTAACCTTTTTGGTAGGTGTTATGCTTTTTGTAATCAATGCCAAGCCTCTAGAATGTTCAAACTCCGAAAAACCGTTCAAGTTGGTCTTTTTAGGATCCTCTGATGAGGTTAGTGCCCGGGGTGCAACTGGAAGCTCTCCATCTTCCCTTGCACCCTCGGTTTCTTCCCAAGGAGTCAAAGAACTCCTGTCTCGATCATATGTAACAGAACTTGTAACTTGCTCCTTGGAAACAGAAGAAGAGTTAAGAATTAGCCCTGCTTCTGACCAGTGTTGCAAAGTACATGAAGGGTTGTGGGAGGCCCACGGAACATTCTCATCCATCAGTGCCGGCAGTTTGAGTTTTTCCAATGAGTCAAGCTGCTCCCTGTAAGTCAATCAAAATTTAAAACCTTCAAAACCACAAACACCTTATAGAACCAACAAAATGACATGAGTTATCAGTTAATAAATCATTGTAGTACTGGAAGTATGGGATAATTAAAAGCAGGAGGTACCAATATAATTTCTAAAGAAACATTTGCAACCAACTATACTCATAATACTTCAGCACGTAAGGCTTTGCATGTCCCTGCACAGTGCATTCACTGAACTATACTCATCTAAAAGACAACCAAGAAAACAGTATCTGACTAAAACCGGAAAAAATTCAGTGAAGGTACAATGCTCGAATTTTCCACTAATGTTCATCTGACATGGTAACAACATGACTACAAAATCACAGAGCAGTGACTCACACAAGAGCCATCTGAGCCTTTTTCCTAGAACGGATCCTTTGCACAACAGTCTGTACTCGATTTTGATGACGATAAAGGGAAAGTCCAGAATGAACAGCACCGCCTTTTGGTACTACAGCGTTTGGAGTTTCATGCAGAGGAGGCAACTCCTGCAAAAAATCAATCCCACCCAAATGTTGTGCCCACTTGAATGGTCGAGACGTATTCTTTTCATTAAGATAAGCAGCATCTCCAGCATAAAGCTTTGCTGTCTGCAAACAATTCAAAGAGTGTAGCTATCAGATAAAACAACTAATTACTGGATGCAAAGAAGAGTTAAGCTGCACGACTGAAACCTGCAACCTTAATTGAATGCATTTACTTTATCTGAACTATTACTATCCTGTGTCCGTGACTGATCAGTTTTAACCCAACCGCTAGGTCATATACAAATACAAACCAAGCAACTGCGTGTTCTGAAGGACGAAACAAATCAACCAACATAATCTTTGAAATCAATTTACTTCTTTAATGTTTCTGAGAGAAATGCCATCAACAAGAAACTATAATATTGACAAAAAAAGAAGATTAATGCAACTCTTTTAATATTGCATACACAATACTGTCTAATTTACTAGAATATTCTAAGTATATAACCACATTTGCCCCTGTCTAAGCTCCGTAAACCTTTAGGCTAGCCACCTAGCACCTAGCTTCCTATAATGAGCATCTTGGTAGACTAAAAACTCCTAAATGGAATCTTAATTTGACAAAAGGACTAGGAATTGTAGATGTCGAAAAATGCTTACAGACATCCAAATACCACTCAAAGCAAAGAGAAGACGATAAACGTTGCTCTCTTAATCAGAAGGGAATGATTCAAAGAAAGCGAAACAACATGGAAGAACATGTACACACCAACAAACAGCGTTTGGTGTCGCGGCTCCAGCGCGGCAGTTCATGGCGCCGCGGCCATGGCGCGACAGCCCATGGTGCCGCGGCTATGGCGTGGCAGCCTATGGTGCCGCGGCTATGGCGCGACAACCTATAGTGCCGCGGCTATTATAGGAGAGTGCTGTGGCGGTTACAAGACAGTTGTACGATGATTATTTGAAGCCCACGTGGCGGCATATCAGAGATAGAACGTGTGCTGACGTGGACAAGCAGTTAAACCACGAAAAAGGTGGTTAAAGGTCGTGGGAGAACGGTTTCAAGCACGATGGAACGTGCTGGTAACCACCCCTTTAGCCGCGGCAGTCCACACTGCCGCGCCAATAGCCGCGGCAGTTAGTTGTACGATGATTATTTGAAGCCCACGTGACGGCATATCAGAGATAGAACGTGTGCTGACGTGGACAAGCAGTTAAACCACGAAAAAGGTGGTTAAAGGTCGTGGGAGAACGGTTTTAAGCACGATGGAACGTGCTGATAACCGCCTCTTTGGCCGCGGCAGCCCACACTGCCGCGCCAATAGCCGCGGCAGTGTAGACTGCAGCGGCCAAAGATGGTTCGTCTGATCGGTTATTTCGCTTCCATTTCAACTGTTATGCATTGCTACCCCTATAAATACCTCCCTAGACACGAAATAAAAAAGGGGAGGAGATTAGAGCAGAGGGCCTTGAGTTTTGGTGAATTAGAGCAAGAGAGAGAGTCTTCCTTCTTCACAAACATCCTCAAGAAGCTTCTAGCGATTCCTAGAGATCTAAGCTCTGACTTGATCTTTAGAAGAGTGAACATCTTACATCGATAAGATATTCGCTTCAAATTCTTACTTCGATAAACGAAGGAAGAATCATTAAACCCCTCACGGTTCAATCAGAATCTGTGATTTGGTGGTCCACGAGTCAAAGCGCTCCCGGCACAGGCAAAGATCCCACGCAAGCAGCGATCCAAACAACGATCCTGCGTTTGTTTCTAAAAAGTTGTAATTTTCCTTTTGTTGTGTAAAAGAAGTCTTATAAAAAGACTATCTCTTTTGAATTTGTTGTAATCGACCGAAGATATAATGAATTCCATAACAAAACCAACTTTTGACGCAAACAGGAATAAGAGAAAGAAAATATGAACCTAGAATGGTCGAAGATACAAAGGAGAAAGGAACGAATAATATCAGTATAGTAGGTCAATACATGCAACTTCTCATGACTTGACAAGTAGTTCCTCATTTTGCTTGATAGCATCATACTTTACAATCTAACTAAATTGTGAGCTGCAGGCTCATTCACGTGTCTCAGTTTTCCAACATGCTATCACCATCTGAACCCACTAGGCTCCTGCACCTAACCTCCTTCCAGTGAAATCGCTTTCCTCTAATTCTTGTGTAGCATATATGATGCTGAGGAGAACATTTTGGCCTCTCCCTGGACCTCCTAATTGTTTGATGTGAACAAAATTTGGCAGAAAAGTTTGATACATTCTCACAGCACAGCTTCCTTGGCCACACATACTTAACGCAAATATGCAAGTAGTTAGTTTAACTTTTAGATGATACAATTCTTTCCCACTAAACATCGAGTCCCTGTGTCCATAAGAAATACCAAAGATGTATACCTGATGAGGTAGCTCCATGCCAGTGTCGCCAGGGAATAGGTTGCACAAGATATTATTGTCAGGTCCTTCCTCTGTATCTTCAATTGCAACACATATAACATTTAATTTTACCAAATATTCAAACCTTAGGGTGATTAGCTTTGAAGGTTTAGCCTCAGTATCCTCATCATCATATATAAAGAGAATGACTTTAAGCGGATGTAATTGGTAAGTTCCTGATCGATCAGCATTCTCCTTAACCACGCTCTTCTTGGGCCTTTTTCTTCTCCTCTGCCCATCTTCATCATCATCAGGTGCATCATCTTCCAACCTGCTGGTTTCTGTATTGTTCATGGTACCTGAACAGAGCTTTCTGGTATCAATGTTTTGCCAATAAAACTGAACTCACAATACTATCTCAGTTTGCAACACTTGTCATTCTAAACATGCTAACAATTAGCAAGCTTACAAAACTAAATACTCAGTATGTAGGGTATCCCAGATTGCTTAAATATTTTGGGGGGAAATTAGGAGACTTTCCCACATTAAGTGCTTTTTATAACATATCATATGCTTTTAACATATCATAAGATGATCAGGTCCAAAAGAAAATGTCAAGAGTTCCATCAAAACCGAAAACTGCATATAGATATCCAATATCATGGACAGTACTAAATTCATAAATGGTTGTAGGGATGAAAATTGACAAAATAAGAAACATGATAGTTCTGAGATTTCTTTAAGATTACCAATGTCTTTATTTGCTTGCTGCTGGGCAAAAGTTTGAGCATCCTTTATACTTCCAACAACCTCCAATTCTATTCTCTCCCCAAATGCTTCTTTCTGAGCCAATAACTGTGAGTAAACTATATAGAGTGGTGGTGGAAGCAACTCTGCTGCAGTTTGCTGCTTCAATTTCTTCGTGTGCATAATTCCGAGCTGCTGCTGCACAGGCAAGGAAGCTTTCTTCAAAGATTTCAAGTGTGATGGGAGACTTGAGAGGAACTTCTTCCGGTTTGCTATGGTTTCCATGAGACCATTTTTATGTTGCTCCAGTTTCTCACGAAGTTTGCAGAGTTCTTTTCGCTTGTGCAAGAAAATACAAGGTTAGAGCTTTGTAAAACAAAATTGAAACAAACAGATGTGAAACTAGGAGACAAAAGCTATTACCAAAATTATATTACTTCTCAAGCTTTTAAAACAAAGCTGAATAGTTGGCAGGCGACAAGACTAAGCGCCACAACGACAAGAAACTAAATGGTGGAATCCATTAATTTGGTCAAATAGAAAACAAAATAATAAAAATAAAATTCTCCCATTGCCTGAAGACATTCATGTAATGCGTCGTTTGCTTAATAGAAGATTATTAAGAACTTGAAATTTCCATGATTGGAGAACTTCCTAGAGAATTTTTCAGGCCTTTTCAATTTAATTGGTAATGTTTCTGCCAAATAGGAAGTCTAGTGCATGAAACTTTTCTGTTTGGTTTGTTGGTTTGGAATGATTTAAATAAAAGAAGTGTAAAACTGTGATAACATCATCTCTAATCATAAAGTAAGCACTACCCAGCACATCGCACCTAGGCGGTCGCCTAGACAAGGCCTAGGCAGATTTCTTTTTTCGTTTACTTGGAGATGGAGGAGATTTTGCCGAAGGTTGGAAGAGGTGGAGGCGGCCACCGATGTAGGAAGACATGGAGGCAAGAACAGAGGAAATCAGACGACCTAAGCTTTGCAGTTCACATAATGGTCCATGCTCCCCTAGGTGCTCCCGAAGACCTAGGTTGGCAGCCTAAACATGACTGGGCCTAGGTGAGAGCCTAGACAGCTTTCTAACATACAGATTAATGATCCTACAACATTCAAATGCATGAAGATGGCTTCAGCTTCCAC